TGCCCCCAGCCAGATGCCTATCCAGCCTTCTCTTAAAGACCCCCAAGGTAGGGGAGAGCACCACCTCCCTTGGAAGCCCATTCCAGATTTTGGCCAGCCTTATGGTGAAGAAGTTTTTCCTGATATCTAGCCTAAATCTGCTCTCTGTTTGTGACCATTGTTCCTTGCTACCACAAGAGGCATCCTGGTGAACAGAACATTTCTGATCTTTTGCATCCCCCTAATGAATTTGTAGGTGGCCACAAAATCACCTCTCAGACTCTGCTTGTGGAGGCTGAAGAGGTCCAGGTCCCTCAGTCTCTCCTCATAGGACCTGTCCTGTAAGCCCCTAACCATGAGTGGCCCTCCTCTGGACCCTCTCGAGTCTATCAACATCCTTCTTGAAGTATGGCATCCAAAACTGGATGCAGTGCTCCAACTGCGGTCTGACCAAAGCAACATAGAGGAGAAGTATCACCTCCTTGGATCTATTTGTCATGCATCTGCTGATGCTTGATAAAGTGCGGTTAGCTCTGCTGATGATTTCGTCACACTGACGACTCATGTTCATCTTGGAGTCCACTATGACTCCGAGATCCCTTTCCGCTTCTGTGCTGCTGAGAGGGTCATTTCCTAGCCAGTAGGTGTGCTGGATATTTTTACACCCTAGGTGCAGCACTCTGCATTTGCCCTTGTTGTTCTGCAGCCTATTGTGTACTGCCCACTTTTCCAACCAATCCAGATCTGCCTGGAATCGTTCCCTATCCCCCAGAGTGTTCACTTCACCCCACAATTTAGTATCATGTGCAAACTTGGACAGAGTACATATCCAAGTGGAGCTGAATGGGGTACATGACATCTGGGCTCATGTCCCTAACAAGCAAAGCCCTAGGTCAGCGAGTGCCTTGTCCTAGCTCAGGGGTTGGCAAAATATGGCCCACAGGCCGGAGGCCATTCTATCTGGCTTGCATGGCCCCTAAAAAATTTAGAAAATTAATATTTACCTGTCTGATTCCTGTCAAAAATGACAGGAACCAGGGGCAGTAGGACCCAGGGGAAGCCCGACAGACACCTGCAAACAGCAAGGCCCACCCAGCCCTGCCCGAAGTCCCAGGAGGTGCTTCTGTCCTGGGACCGTGCAGCTCCTCCGGCGCTGGAACCTTAGGTAAGGGGAGGGGGAGAAGGCAGGGGAGGATCCTAGGCAGGGAAGGAGCCTGGGGAAAAGCAGCCCCTCCACCACCCCGTGGCTGGTGCTCCTTTCCCCAGCCACGTCAGACCCACACACG